ACCTCAAGCCGGCCACAAGTCTAGCTCGCTACGACTTTGCCTTCTCGAGTCAACCTCTTCGCACGACGTAATCTGATTAAAACCACAACGAATATCATTACAATAGGCTAAAGAAATCAAACCCACATCGAAAAGACTTCATAAATACCAAATTCACAGTAAGTTGCAAAACCGAGCCCCGGGCCCACTTCTCGAAAAATTACAAAATTTACATCACTTTGGATTCCTGCGTCTCTGCCACGAGTCTACACATACCAATTTACCTAAAATTCGGAGTTCAAATGCCCTTTCAAAATCCGTTTTACACATCACAACTTTTCAAGCCGCTAGCTGACCCGTTTTGATGAATTTTCCACTGATTTACTATGATTAAGTTTACATAAACTCGAGTAATTAAACCAAGAACTTACCTCGCAATCGATTCTCATGTCAAAACCTCGAAATTTCCTCGCACAAAGCTCTCCAAGTCGCTTATAAATGGTGGAAAACTAACCTCTGTTCGCGGATTGAAATATATATTTTTAAACCCTTCTGTCAAACAGTTGATTTCGCTTCATTCTCGCTGCCCCCCTCCCCGTCCCCCGCCCTGCTTCCGCTTATGCGGACGCACTGTCTGCGGTCAGAAGTCCGTTTAAGCGGTTTTCATTAAAGTTAACAATTTTCGCTTTCTGCGTCCCAAAATCGACTTCTTGCGGTATCACCAGTACGCTTCTGCGGTTGACAGTCCGCTCCTGTGGACTAATCGCTTTGCGGATATATTTCGCTTTTTGCGCCGGAATCTCCTCACCAGGCACGAACCGCTTCTGCGCTCCTTCAACCGCTTTCTGCGGTCCATTTCCGCAGATCGGAAATAACCTGAGATGACAGCAACAACAGACCTCTGAAGAAAACTTCAATAAGCTCTGACGTTTAAACACCGCGAACTCCTCCGAGGCCCCCGGGACCTCAACCAAAAACACCAATACAATCCTAAAACCTTTCAAACTTGTTCCCATCATCAAACCACAACAAAATAACGCTAAAGCCATCAAATCACATCGAATCAAGCCTATTCTTAAAAACTTCCGAATTACGCATTCGATCAAAAAACCCGGGGACCCAAAAAAACACCTCCGAATGACCTGAAATTTTTGCACACATATCCAAATTCACCTTAACGGAGCTACTGAACTCTCGAATTCCATTCCGACCTCGGATCAAAATCTCACCTAGCCACCGGAATTTCGCCAAATTGCCAACTTTGCCAATCAAGCCTAATTCTTACTCGGACCTCCAAACCACTTTCATAAACGCACTCCTAAGTCCCACAAATCACCTCCTGAAGCTACTGAATCACGCGAATTCACATCGAGCCTTCTAACTAATCGTCAATGTTCGGTTGACTTTTCCAAACCAAACCTTCCTTAAGAGGACTAGTGTCTCATTTCCTATCCAAACCAATTCAATTCAACTCCTAACTCACCCAGCTGATATAAAACATGAAAAGCAAAAATGGGAGAACGGGATTGTAATACATGAACGACGGGTTGTCGTCACACCTAGTTGTCTCGGGGGATAACTCGTGGAATTATGTTTGTCAACTTAGGCGTGCGATTTCTTTTCCTTTTTGCAGTGGGGCAGGTTTATATATTAAAGCTTTTTTCTATACCAAAAATTTATCCCTTAGGTACACTTCTTTTGTATGGAGAACCCACAATGGATAGACCTCAAGGATTGTAAGTCCCAAAAGAAGAGAGATAGTTCCCTAGCTGATATTGAGAAGCGTGTTCGCTTAGGGCACCAAGCCTCACAAAATTCTTGCAAAATGTTCGAGTTTCGATTCATTAAGGGAAAAGTAGGCATATACAACATCATAAAACTTTGTTGTAACTTAGTTTTTGTTGGCTTCCACCAAGTAATCTTCAGCCCATTCCAATAATCCTGAATATGACGATACTTCGCCTCGATTGTTGTTGTGTTTCCCCAACATACTTCGCCTGGATTATGCGACGCCCCTAAGTTTGGAAGGGTGCTAGCAATGTTTACATAGCGATGGATTTGGTGCTTGGAGAGACCACATCTTGGACAATGGACTAGAAGTAGACTTGCTGCTCCAAGTCTAGTTTCTACATAAAAGGGAGTTCCTCAAAGAAGCCATGAGGCTTGCATTACCAGCCAGTTATGGGGTGTTGGAACCAAAAGCTTGTTTGTTCTATGCCATCTTCAGTCTCGATTACGAGATATTTAAGTTTATGAAGGCGAGGTATATTCTCTGAAATTTTCCATCTCTTCGGGTTTGCAAAGAGAACAAAAGATCAAAAAAAAAACACCTCAGACCAGAAATAGGGAATACAAAGAGATTATATAGATACGAGAGACAACAAGTTCGAAATGGATAAAATGGCCTCCCATATCGAGAGCCACATGCCCCATTGTAGCTGGGACATCATATCGGTTAATACGATAACACCAGAGACCATTAAATTTTGTATGGGGTTTTTTAGTATCGGGTTATTAGGGTTTAATAAAGTTACGACTATTACCCAATTAAGTAATATAAATATGCTAGGGGCTTCAGTTTCTTCTCTCCTATTCTTTCTCAGCCCGCACTTTCATTGCTTATCTTCATTCTTCATAGACCTTACTATTACTCCTAGCGTTTAAGTCTTTAGGTTCTTATACATTACGCTTATAATTTTTATTACGAAATTCATCTTCATATTGTATTTTTGGACTGTTAATGATTCTTTATTTTGTATTTTTTTTCTTAATTTTGTGAGCTCACAGTTGTGGGCAGCCCTATAACCTACTATCAATTTTTTTTCGCACTTATCAATCTCAATCGACAATATTCGTAAGTTTAAGTATATTGTGTTTGTAATTATTCTTCTGTACAGTACGCTGGCTTTGACAACAGACAAACATTTCTGCCTTCTAGGGTTTCATTTTCAGTGTTAGTATTGCCCATGCACAGATTCAAGATTTTGCTCTATGGTTTTTTTTTTCAAGTTAAGCATTTTGACAAAATAACATCCAGTTTATCTTGGACTGTTAGTACTATATGTTTGGACTTGTTATTTTAATGGTAAAATTGTACTACTTTGTTTTATTATTAATGTATTTGGACAACTGTTGTTGAAGAATTAGTACGTATTCCAGTTGTGGCCATAAAACAGAATGCAGAAATGGCAGTATACGATATGGGAATTCTTCTCTTTTTTGCTTAACTTCATTGAATTGTCTTCTCTTTTTTGCTTAAGTCTAAATTGAGTTATCTTATCATAACGATAACCGTACCGATAATGATTCGATAACCGATTACGATAACCTATACTTTATCGGTTCGAGTTAATCGGTTTATCCAAATTTGATATACGATAACCGATATGCTAAATCGATAATTATTCATTAACCTTAACGAACCTACGATTTCCACCCCTAACATTGAGAGTAATCTCTCCGATAGTCGGTCATTTTGAGAGTAATCTCTCCGATAATCGAGTTCATATTGAGAGTAATCTCTCCGATAGTCGCGGTTCATTTTTGAGAGTAATCTCTCCGATAATCGAGTCATATTGAGATAATCTCTCCGATAGTCGGGTCATTTTGAATTGTAATCTCTCCGATAGGCGGGCCCATTTTGAAGTAATCCTTACCGATATCGAAGCCATATTTGAGAGTAATCTCTCCGATAGTCGGGTCATTTTGAAAGTAAATCTCTCCAATAGTCGGCCACCTTGAGAGTATCTCTCCGATGGTCAGGCCATTTGGAGAGTAATCTCTTCCATAGTCAAGCCCACATTGAGAGTAATCTCTCCAATTAATCGGATTTCATTTGAGAGTAATCTTCTTCGATAGTCGAGCCACATTGAGGTAAATCTCTCCGATAGTCGAGCCATATTGAGAGAAATCTCTCCTATATTCGAGCAAGGATGAGTACCATCCCCTCCACCCCTATAATTACCTTTTATGCAGGAAGGAATTGACCTCTGCAAAGAAATATACGCATACAAAGAAAAAAAAAATGACCCGGCCCCGAAAT